CTCACCCGGGAGGCGGACAAAGTCTGCTAGCTTCGTTTCACATGACCGGCGATGCTCAACAGTGGTACTACATCATGGAGCGCGACACTAGCCGGCTGTCATGGGACGCCTTCCGGCTTCTATGTCATCAGCGCTTCGGGCCGGCCTTGTCCACCAACCACCTGGCGGACCTCGCCCGCCTTCCCTTCACCACCAACGTCGACTCCTACATGTCGGCGTTCCAGGCGTGGTTAGCGCATGCCGTCCGCTTGGATTCGGTCCAACAAGCGCAGCTGTTCACAGGGGGGCTCCCTGAATACATCCGCGTCGACGTTGAGCTTCATGAGCCCCAGGATCTGCACCGCGCCATGCGCCTGGCATGGGCCTCTGAGCGCCGCAACGCGCCATCGAAACTTGCTCTTCCAGCCCCATCGAACAGACCGTCTCGCCGCACGGGCCAGGGACAGCCGGCCCTGCCTCCTCCCGGAGGTGCATCGTCACAGGCTGCCTCGTCCTCACAACCTCCGGCGCGGGCCTTCAAGTTCCCCACCCCGGCGGAGATGTCAGAACGCCGCAAGCTGGGGTTGTGCTACAATTATGATGAACCGTACGTCCAGGGCCATAAGTGTGCGCGCCTCTTTTATTTGGAAGCTGCTGATTATATTGTTCAAGAACCTGAGACGGATGATGAAGAGGACCAGACCCAACCTGCAGGCCAAGAAACTCCCACGATCTCCCTGTCAGCTATCGCCGAGATCCGGACTGAAGACACCATGCAGGTGTGTGTTCAGATTGGGGACATGCAGTGTGTGGCCTTGCTGGACTCAGGATCAACTCACACGTTCGTCAGTGGGGACATAGCTCGGCGCGTTGGCATACACTTCGAACCATGCCCAGGTACCGGCATCGTCGTGGCCAATGGTGACCGCGTTGCTTGTCACGGCCTTGCCCACGACGTGGGCATTCGGATTGCAGACGAGGTCTTCTCAGTTGATTGCTACACAATTCCTATGGATAAGTGGGACATGGTCCTCAGTGTCAACTTCTTGCGCACGCTGGGACCGATTCTATGGGACTTCAATGACCTTTGTATGGCATTCACCAGAGGAGGCAAGCGAGTGTTTTGGCGCGGCATCGGTTCTACTCGGTGGGATGTGCAATCTACACGCCGCCTCAATGCACTCCAGGGAGTCACGGCCAGTACAGACACCCCTCTGTTGGACAAGCTGCTCCTGTCCTTTGACGATCTCTTCGCCACACCTAAAGGCTTACCCCCCGCTCGTGCCTGTGATCACCACATACATCTTCTCCCAAACACGCCTCCGGTGGCTGTGCGACCATATCGATATCCCCAGCTCCAGAAGGATGAGCTGGAGTCACAGTGTGCCGCGATGCTGCAGTAGGGCGTGATCCGTCCAAGTACAGCAGCGTTCTCCGCTCTGGTACTCCTCGTCAAGAAGCACGACGGATCGTGGCGCTTTTGTGTTGATTACCGCGCTCTGAACAAGGTCACCGTCAAGGACAAGTTCCCTATTCCCGTGGTTGAGGAGCTGATTGATGAATTGCAAGGGGCACGATTCTTTACAAAGTTGGATCTGCGATCGGGCTATCATCAAGTCCATATGCACGCAGCGGACATAGAGAAGATGGCATTCCGCACTCATGAGGGTCATTTCGAATTTTTGGTGATGCCTTTCGGACTCTCAAATGCACCCGCGACGTTTCAAAGCCTCATGAACACCGTGCTCTGGCCGTTCTTGCGTAAGTTCGTACTCATATTTTTTGACGACACCTTGATTTATAGCCCGTCTTGGTCGACACATTTGCAACATCTCAATGCTGTCCTCACTGCGCTACGCGAACATCAACTCCGGCTCAAGCGTTCCAAGTGCTCTTTTGCTACTACATCAGTACAGTACCTGGGGCACGTCATTTCATCGGCCGGGGTCGCTATGGATCAGGATAAGGTGGCGGCCATCACCAGCTGGCCCCAGCCCGCCATGGTGCGCGGGCTGCGTGGGTTCCTCGGCCTCACGGGCTACTACCGCCGCTTTATCAAGGATTACGGCACAGTGTCTGCTCCCCTGACCACGCTGCTCAAGAAAGAAGGGTTCCTCTAGACGCCATCAGCCACTGAAGCATTTGATGCCCTCAAGAAGGCGCTCTCGGCGGCGCCTGTGCTTCATCTCCCGGACTTCGACAAGACTTTCGTCGTCGACTGCGATGCATCCGGGACGGGTTTTGGTGCAGTTCTTCATCAAGGTGCCGGGGCCCTAGCATTTTTCAGCCGTCCTTTTGCAGCTAGGCACCTTAAATTAGCGGCTTACGAGCGGGAGCTTATTGGTCTCGTCCAAGCCGTCCGGCACTGGCGACCATATTTATGGGGACGGCAGTTTGTTGTGCGCACAGATCATTATGCCCTCAAATTCCTGCTTGATCAACGCCTCTCTACTGTGCCCCAACACCAATGGGTGAGCAAGTTGTTCGGATATGATTTTGCGGTGGAGTATCGACCAGGCAGTCTCAATGTGGTCGCAGATGCATTATCGCGACGTACTGATGGTGACCTGCAGCTTCAACTCGTGTTCGAGACAACTTTTCAGCTGTTCAAGGACCTTCGTCACGAGCTTCAAGTCAACGACGAGCTCCGCGCCCTCCGGGACTCCGTGGTAGCAGCACGCGGCGAGCCCTGGCACGTCACTGGTGGCCTGATCAAGCGTGGCGCCCGTGTCTTCATTCCAGCAGGGTCTGCACTCCTGCCCGAGGTCCTCCAGTTAGCCCACGGCGTGGGTCATGAAGGCTCAGAAAAGACCCTCCATCGTCTCCGTCGGGAGTTTGTGGTCGACCATGACCGCCGCCTTGTCAAAGAATTTGTCCGTTCTTGTTTCACTTGCCAGCGCAACAAAACGGAGCATCTGCACCCCGCCGGCCTCCTTCAACCTTTGGAAGTTCCCTCCCAGGTCTGGTCCGATATCTCCATGGATTTTGTGGAGGGCCTTCCCCGTGTTCATGGGAAGAGTGTCATCTTGATAGTGGTCGACCGGTTCTCGAAGCGGGCGCACTTCCTCCCTTTAAGTCACCCCTACACAGCAGCAACGGTGGCCAGGGCGTTCTTTGAAGGCATAGTCAGGCTGCATGGGTTCCGGGCCTCCATTGTGAGTGACCGTGACCCGGTTTTCACAGGCCACGTCTGGCGCGACCTGTTCAAGCTCGCCAGTGTCAAGTTGCGGATGAGTACTGCCTTCCACCCTCAAACCGACGGGTAGTCCGAGGTTGTCAACAGGACCATTGCAATGTACTTGAGGTGTCTCACTGGTGATCGCCCGAGGACTTGGTTGGAGTGGTTGCCGTGGGCTGAATATTGTTACAACACGAGTTACCACTCCACGCTCCGAACGACTCCATTCGAAGTAGTTTATGGCCGTGCCCCACCGGTACTTCTTCCCTACACGACTGGTACAGCGCGGACTGACACCGTGGACAAGCTCCTGACTGACCGTGACATGTTCCTCGCAGAAGTTCGGGACCGTCTACTCCAGGCACAGGAATACACCAAGCGGCACTATGATGCCCGCCACCGGGCTCTGCAGTTCAAGGTCGACGATTGGGTTCTCCTGCGCCTTCTCAACCGACCAGCTCAGTCACTTCTACCGGGTGTGCGTGGGAAGCTGAGTCCCCGCTATGCAGGTCCATTTCAGATTGTGGAACACGTGGGCGAGGTGGCCTATCGCCTACTTCTGCCAGAAGGAGCCCAGATCCATGACGTTTTTCATGTCAGAGTTCTCAAGCCCTTCAAGGGCACCCCTCCTATGTCTACACCAGCGCTGCCCCCTCTCCATAATGGTCGTCTGCTTCATCACCCAGAACGTGCTCTACGTTCTCAGCTTCGCCGCGGCGTCTGGCACGTGTTGATCAAGTGGGACTCCTGACCTGAAGACGACGCCACGTGGGAGCCTGCGGACGAGTTCCGTGCTCGTTTCCCCTCGTTCCAACTCGAGGACGAGCTGTTTCCCAAGGAGGGGAGAGATGTTATGATCGGTAAGACGTACGAGCGCAGGAACCGTGTCTAGAGTCCGGAGTTGCTACGATACTGCTGGTTCGCGATCACCAAACGAGCTGCACGTCAGGGTTCAGCCAAGTCTGTTAGCAAGTCCTAGAATCTAGGACTATTATCTTTAGTTTGTTATTTGCGTAAGTCAGAGTCTAGTCGGTTGAGGATTGCTTGTATAAGTACTACACAATTACGATTGAATGAATCAGCCTGGGATTGAGATTAATATCTCCCCTGGGCGCCCAGGCGCCTACTGTCCTTGTCGTGCTATTGCCGCCTAGCTCTGTTCGATCACGGCGCCTCCAACTCGACGCCGTGATTCAGGACCTCGCGCCGTAGCCTCGCCTCCCTACTACCTCCGTAGCAAAGCACGCCGTATCAGTTATGCACTCACTAAAGCCTTAAAATTGCAGCAATATATCAAGATGGCAGTTTCCTTGGCTCAGTACCAAAGGAAATTGGTATGTTCTCTCAAATTAATGACAATGTGATACATATAATGATCACTATTCAACTAGCAGTAATATATTTGTCGTGGCCAGGTCGATTTCATGATTAATGTATATCTTTGATTTCATTGCTAGATGTTCTTATGACTTTCATTCTGTTAGATCTCTACATGAGAGGGAGGAGAAGAGAGGTATCTGCAAGAGGAAAAATGGGTGACCAAGAGGGGGGCCTATATATCACAACAATCCTAAGACGATAAGATTCCTCGTTATTTAAATATGTTCCTGCGTTTACACATGATATACATGTTTTCATGGAGATATTTTTTGGGTCAATTAATCACAATTCAACAGAGAGGTATGCTTATCATTAAACAACAGCATCAGAAATACTACTATTATTCATCAATCAATTCTCATTTATCGAATACATATACTCCTAGCTAATATCAATATGATGACACTTCGATAGACTTTATTATCTAGCGGCCGGGTCTATCTTCCTTGGAAGTTGGAACTCCTTACTCCCATCCCTGCACTCCAATATCATCTATGACAGCAATCAGTTTATGCCACACGGTCTGCAAGGAAAACAGCCGAAAGAGTGTTAGCACTTAATTAGCAGGAACAAACTATACATTACCTGCAGAAAATATTTCACTTGCACATAGAGAATTCAATTCCTACCATGGTGTCGGCGCATCTGACAGAAATCTTTAAGCTGCACGACCTTGTCTTCGCTGTACTCCTCCTCTCTAGGTGTGAGCAGTTTGATAACACAGTGCATGTTCATTTGAGGGACATCTCTTGCGGCCTTGCAGCAGGCGCCATGCAGTTCTCTAGGGAATGGGTGGGGCGGTCCATGACGGATGAACTCCTTGCACTGCTCCAGGATGGCCTCCTTGTGCTTCTCGGTACATGTACCCATGGCTAGATGGGGATACATTACTACTACTGCGAGCAGTAGAGCTGCTACTTTCTCCAGCAACATCTTAGCAGGATCGATCTATCACTTGTAATCTGATCTGTGGTGACTACGGCACAATGAAAGTTCAATATTGTACATATATAGATATATATAGAGAGAGAGAGGAAGCAATGCAATGCATCCACAAAGTTCAATATTAACGGCTAATTAATAAGTTGCCAAAATCATTGAGTATGATATAGTGAAATATGGATACTACTATATTTGGGGCGGATATGCTTCGTTTATAGAGAATAGACATATTATATGTGTGGGTCTCTAGTGTCTATTTGTTCCGAGAAAATAGTATTATATAGTCACATTTAATTTCGTAGAATCCTCCTCCTATGTTTTAGAGACTGTTTGGATCAATAGGGCTAGTTATTAACTGATTAAAAATTAGCTCAAATAATTAGCTGTGGTTAGCCATCTAGTTGGATAATAACCGGTTGTAGGTCTCGCTCAAAACTTTGCCCATCTATTAGTCCCCTATTTGTATGAGCTAGAGCTAAAAAGTAGTTCATTTAATTAGCCCTACGCATCTAGGGCCCTGTTTGGTTCTTTAGTCTAGGGACTAGAGACTAAAACAGGGACTAAGCTTTAGTCTGCTACCTTATTTGGTTCTAGGGACTAGAAGGGACTACAGCACAAACCCACTTTAGTCCCTCTAGTAGTCCCCCTGTTTGGCAAAGTAGGGACTATTTAGGACTAAAGTGGGCTTACTAGTCTCTAGTCCCATCTAACCAAACAGGGCCTAAAGGGTACCATGAAAAAGTAGTTCATTTAATTGGTTTTCATTAATAAATGGGATAGGTAATGCTTAGAATTGGGCGTCCGGACGGTTCTCTTTCCGTCGGATGCCACATCCACCGTTAACTCGTCACGGAACTAAACGAGTTGGCGCATCGCTTCGGCTTCTTCGCACAAGCCTACACGACTTGCTCATTCTCCACACAGGGCTCGCTCGCTGCGCCGCTGCATCCCTACGTCGCCATGACCACCCACCTTCCTCCTTTCCCCGCTCGCTCCCTGCGCTGCTGCATCCACCCACATGCCTTCCCCATCGTGGTGCTTTGCTCCCCGGTGATCCCACCAACCTCTGTTTCCTCCCATGGATGGTCTTCTGAAGTTCTGCACCTTACTCTTCGGCTGCAGGTACTCGATTGCTGCTACCCTTGAGCTCTAAGGGCGTGATTGGTTGCCCGAACCGGACCGTCATATGGCCCATCCCACATCCTTTGGTGCATTTGCCTGTGTTTGGTTGCCCTACTCACATCTTTCTCCTGCTTCCTCCCGTGCAGATTTCCTCCTCCATCCCGGACGGCGTCGTCTTCTCGATCCCCACTTCCCTCTCGGTGCAGGCTCGCTCGGTGCTTGACGGGAACCTTCACGCCGAGCGAGAGATGAGGCCGCCCAGTTATAAAGGAGATTTCTTGTGTGCCATTATAAAGAAGTCGAAATCCCTGTGTGCCCTGGAAAAATTCAGCGGTCTTGATTGCCACTACTCAACTTTTTTTCCTCCATGCCACTTCCGTCAGTTCATGCTCTAACAGCTCAAGCTGTGTGAAAAAAAAGAAGTTCAAATGCCCTTAAGTTCAAATATGTTAAAAAAACTAAAACTTTTGAGATCTTCTATAACTTCATAAAATTTATTTTCATTTAATTCCTAAAAAATATGATAATTTTTCTAAGATATATTAATCATATCAAATCATATTTTTTTTAATAAATGAAATGAAAATAAATTTTATATGAAAATTATAGATATCGAATTTAGATATACAACTTTCTAGTTTTGAGTTTTTTCATTTGAAGTCGTTAAGATGCTCAAAAAAATTAATAACATATTTGAACTTAAGGGTATTTTCGCCTTTTCACACTTGCAGCTTGACTAAGTAGGCCCCGAATTGACTTTAAAGTGGCATGGAGGACCCGAAAAGTTGGAGTAGTGGCGTCCAAGACCGCTGAATTTTTTCAGGCACACAGGAATTTCGATCTTTATAATGGCACACGGGGAAAAGTCTCCCATAAAAGCACACGCGCGGGTCTTGGCTAGGGTTACCGCCCTCACTCTTCGCCTCTCCTTCCGCCATAGCTCCGGTGCGAACTCCCGTCTTGCTCCCCCTCGACCTCGGTAGCCCTACCGAGGCGACCCTCGTCGGCGGATTTCTCTCGGTCCTCCGGTGCTTGGAAGGTATATATGCCACCTACGCTCTTCCCCTCCTCTTTCTTTAGTGTCAATTTTGTTGATTTGTTGGTGGATTTTGTTTGAAATGCCAAGAAATCAGGGTTCTTGGTTTGACATCCTCAGATCTGTACGATAATATACCTGATTTACCTGTTCCTAGCTCAGATCTGTACATGATACTTCGTATTTGGTTTATACCTCATGTTTTGTGTAGATCTTGTACATGCTGATGCCTATTTTGTTGTACACACTGAGCAAAGTGCCTAGAGGTCAGTGGTGTTGATTGTGTAACAGTATACGCTGGAGGAGCACCCTTTGGTGTGGCAGCCACGTCTTTCATAGTTCATTTTGTCTTATTTTTTGCTTGCTAAGCAGTACACACCCATGTTGCATGCTCCCTTTCTAATGTTGCCCTCCATCCTGTTGGTAGACATGGCCTTTGAAGCTAGGCGAAGGGCTGCCGCTGCTGTGGTTGTTGCAGTGGCTGCTTGGTTTTTCATGTGGTTTAGGAGGAGAGTTGAAGATTCATGCTCAGTCACCTATGGTCCCTTGGCTGAGAGGGACAAACAGAGGATGAATAACTTTAGATACATCTATGAATCTGATGATGTGCACTGTGTCAACCTTCTTAGAATGAAGAGGGCCCCTTTTTTCTAACTTTGTGACCTTTTCTATAGTAGAGAGATTGTCACTGACAGCATACATGCATCTGTTGAAGAACAAGTAGCCATGTTCTTGCATGTTGTTGGTCACAATGAGAGGTTTAGGGTGGTTGACCTCACCTTCAGGAGGTCCGCAGAGACAATTAGTAGGTTCTTCCAAAAGGTGTTATATGCGGTAGGAGAGCTGAGGAATGAATTGATTGTCCCTCCTGCTACCAATGTCCATCCTAGGATCCTTGGGAGCAGAAGGTGGTACCCCTATTTCAAGGTTGGTATCCATAACTTGTCATACATAGGTCTCATGCATTATTAGTTTAGTGTCAATGTTCACTTGCACTTATGTTTTGTTGATTTAGGACTACATAGGAGCAATTGATGGTACTCATGTATTAGCTAGAGTGCCTGATGTGTTGGCAGCCGTGGACTTTGACCTCAGATTCATCTATGTGCTTGCTGGTTGGGAGAGATCTGCACATGATGCTCTTATCTTGTTTGATGCTCTTGAAAGAGCTGATGGCCTTAGAGTGCCACCAGGTATCATCCAAACCACAAAAAACCTTTGACACTTTGCTTAATCCTAAATGAAACTACTAAAACATATTCCTATATGCTAATTTTTAGGCAAATTCTATCTTGTCGACGCTGGCTATGCAGTGAGGCCTGGTTTCTTGCCACCATTTCGTGCCACAAGGTACCATTTGAGGGAGTTTGGTTCAAACTGACCTCAAAATCAAAGAGAGCTTTTTAATCTAAGGCATTCGTCTCTTAGAGTAACAGTTGAGAGGGCTTTTGGGGCTCTAAAGAATAGATTTAGGATATTGGACAACAAGCCTTTCCACCCATAGAAGACCCAAGTTAAGCTTGTTCTTGCCTGTTGTATTCTTCACAATTGGATCCTCAGGCATGGGCAGGACGAGCATGTGCCTGCTGAATCCACATGGACTCCTAACATCAATGACAATGCCTCACAACCAGATCATGTCCCTGACAATGGTACCTGGGCACAACAGAGGGAGGCATGGGCTGCATAGATGTGGCAAAATAGGGGGAATTCTAGGGTGTAGTGGCATGGTGTGTGTACTGTTTAGTAGCATTGGAGAAACTTGTATTTTAACTGAGACCTATGGCACTTTGCAATGATGTAGTACATATTCCTTTTCTGCCTATTTGATCTGTTGAACTTGTATTTCATATCATGCAATTTGTTTTCCTTATGTACTGGTTGTTCAATGTTATGGTGGTTGTGGATAGGAAATGGACAATATGCCTGACCAGGTTGTTAACATTGGTAGTGAGGACAATGTGGTGGAATAGGGTGGGGTAGTTGCTGCTGATGATGGCAACCAAGCAGCCCCTCAGCCCAATGGCCCTATGCACTGGAGTCCTGTCCAGTCTGGGTTCATGCTAAGGAGGTTCCATGATTTGGTAGGCCAGGGGGTCAAAACTGAGAAAGGGTTCAAGGAGGTACATGTTAGGCAGGTTGCACTCATGGTCTCTGAGTTTGCTGGGGTCAATGTGAGCACCCAGCAGATTTACAATCACCTAAGAAAGTGGAGGCAAAGGTGGCTTAAGATTGTTAGGCTCAAGGATTTGAGTGGTGCTCTGTGGGATGAGGACCACCATATGATAGTACTTGATGATGAACACCTGCTTGGCCACACCAAGGTTAAAAACTGTTTGGATAACACCTCAGCTATCCCTTTTCTTTTCTTTTGCTCCCCTATGTCTAATAGTTACATTTGTTTTACTAACTAGGACCATCCTGCTGATGCTAAGTTCTTGAACACACCAATAGAGAACTATGTTCAGATGGAGGCCATCTTTGGTGGTAACCAGGCCATAGGCAGGTATGCAATGGGCTCAAATGAGCTTCTGGGTACTCCAACTGACATTGGTCAAGGTGATATTGATGCCGTTGAGGACATCACTGACTTAGGTGGCATAGAGGCTGATTTTGGAAAGGGAACTCCTTCTAGTATGGAAGGCACTAAGGGTTCTGATGCCAAGGGCCAGGAGGAAAGGGGTGGCAATAGAAGGAAGCTTGCCCCAGAGGAAATAGACCTCATGAATGGAATGATCAAGGCTGTGGAGTCTGTAGGAGATGCCCTCAA